TTTTTTTATTACATCTGTATCTTTATGAATGCAGTGAATTACCAATCCAGTAGCCCATTTCCTTATTTTATCTTTCCTTGAGCAAATTTTATATACTAATAAAAAACATCTGTGAACATGCACTTTAAATATCTGTATGTGTTTTGGTTATCCACCATTTACTGATAGGTATGCACATGTTTACCTTTCTATTTTCCCTTTTTATAAAAGAGTATGTGCCACATCCTAAATTTGCCTGTTGTTTGAGGTTATTTTCCTGTTTTGTATTGATTTTATTTTTTTTTTAACTTTTATGTCTTGCATTCATTCTGTCTTGAGGTGGTTTAATTTCCATTTATTTGAATTTTTCCTTTCTGTTTTGGTTTTACTTATAATTTCCTTTTCATAACCCTATTGGAATTCACCTACACTAAGGACTTTTCTTGGCATACCTCTACTGGAGTAACTGCATTCAGAGTTCAAAACAACTGATCAGTGTCTTTTTAAAAAGTATAGATTTTCCACTGTTATTTTCTTAAAAAACTTTGTGCTTAAAAGGTATGAAAAAATCCACACAGATGGTACTAAGTATACATATGCATTTCTATTCAACTGAACTATAGCAGGAAGTTTTCATATTCTCTTCCCACCCCCGTGCAGTACTTGTTGCATTTAGTGCCTTAATTTCCCTTAGAAACATTTTAAAATGTAAGTATCATTTTTACTTCTTCAAACTGTATTGGGTTTTGCCAGCCATCTGTGAAGATAAGGGAATAGACTTGGCATGTGTCACAGTCTTAGCTGAAAAATGTAATTTTCCTATCATTTCCAATACATTTTTCTCCTCATCATCTGCAGAATAAATGCTCTTATTAAAATTTAAGAAGATAGTGACTCACCAGATTAAACAGCTAAAGAACATTTTCCCTTGGATAGTAAGTGGGCTTTTTTCCTCTCGTGATATCAGAAGTGCAGCACTAGTCCTATCCTAGAGGGAAGAAAAATAAAATGAATGCCAAAAATGTTGATACTGCTAGAATTTCATAGACACTGAGCAAACTGTTATCACAGGGCAGTTGGGGATGCTCACCCCTGATGACAAACATGCTAGAAATACAGAATATATGTGTTTATTTTTAATTGCATTGTATCTGAGTAACAATTTTGAAAATCACAATTTGCTCACTTATTTCCCCCCCCAAACCGTGGCGTTTGTAGCGACTTAGTTTTACTGAACCCTGACGAATAACTTGTGCTTCTGCAGAGTGATTACAGTGCTAAACCCCTGCAGCATCTCTCTGCATGCAGATTCCCCTCTTACTCTGGTTTCTGATGAGAATTGTATGCAAGTGGCTTCGAATAGCCTGTAGTGCCTTGCATCAGTTTTACTGATGGTTTTGAGGGAACTTATGAACAAATGGAGGATTTTACTGTTTTTACCTCAGTCACATGTTATGCATATGAATAAGATACATTTTTTCGATTGTTTGACAATAATTTGGAAGACAGAGTTTAAATTGGGTCCTAAAAAAGGGCATTGATCCTTTATAAGTATAGATTTTTCTTCTTTTGCAACAAATTTGCTCTGACGTGTTTGTTACTAATATCACAGATACTGTGTTTTCTAACTCTATTACTTTTTCACCCTTAGAACCTTGAGTTTTGTTATGTAAGTCTGGAATATAATAGTTGATAATCTTTCCTGGAAGTACCTTCATTTCAAAGCACACGTTCTCTTCCCAAGTAACACTCTCCTGTGGATCTGTCACTTTTAGCTTCATTTTCGATTTCAGAAGAGTGAAAAACAAGATGGTATCTAGTAAATATGTATCACATTATAGAAACTGTGCTTGTTTTTGAAAATTGACCATAACCGAGGACTAAAACAGTTGGCAGGTACAAGAATGTAAATACCGAAGTAAATTGCATGTATAGTTCCATGTTCATGAATGGCCCAAGCCTAATTGCATTTTAAGCAGATCCTATTGAAGGTTGCCTGATTGCTTGTCTTGCTTTTCCCATGCATTTCAACACTGTCTTAAAACACAGGGATGTTCATAGTGCTATACAGCACAACACAGAATTTAAAAGCAAAAATAACATTACATAATTGGTAACTGTAAAGATGCATTACAGTACATTTAAGTAGCTGTATGGCATTTTATTTCTAACTGCTGTGCTTCTTTTCTCCTCTTCTTTTCATGCCCTGGTCTTCATTCCTGTTGGTGCTTGTATCTTGGTTTAAGTTGTAATTCTTGGACAGGTGGAATCCCTTCCGATTTGTTTATGTTGTTGTGGGTATGTTTCTGAGAGCTCAAAATGTCAGTAATCATTCCAGTAGTGATTTGGGATACAGGGAGAGCAGGAGGATCCCTTGAAGCAAAACTGCTTGAAGAATTACAATGCTGATTTCCAAAGTTTCATTTTCTATATGTTGAGCGGACAGAATTATTTTTAGCTCTTTAATTTTAGTGTGTTCCTACAGCAAATGTTTGGATGCTTGAATTGTCACTACTGCTTGAACATCAGTATGCTGCAGAAGGGTAGAAGGAGGAAATGTTGAATAACAGACATGTGTATATTATAGCTTAAGACGTCTTTGTCTTGCTTCTCAGACCATATGATTATTGGAAATTTACCAGGATAATCTTTTCACTTAAGACTTTTTTTTTTTTCTTTTATTTTTATTCTTTATTTACTGCATGAAAAGACCTGGTAGGTTGCTCTGAAATTCTAAAAGACCTTGTGGTTTTTATAGTCTCTTACAAACTTTGTGCCAGTGTTGTGATTTAACCCCAGCCAGCAACTAAGCCCCACGTAGCTGCTTGCTCATCCCCCCACCAGTGGGATCAAGGAGAGAAACAGAAGGGTAAAAGCTGGAAAACTCATGGGTTGAGATTAAGACGGTTTAACAGGGAAAGCAAAGGCTACACACACAAGCAAAGCAAAAGCAGGATTTAATTCACTGCTTCCCATGGGCAGGCAGGTATTCAGCCATCTCCAGGAGAGCAGGGGCCCGTCACGCACAGCAGTTACTCGGGAACACAAACACCATCACTCAAATGTCCCCCACTTACTCTTTCTCCTCCCCACTTTGTATACTGAGCATGATCTCACATGGTCTGGAATATCCCTTTGGTCAGTTGGGGTCACCTGTCTCAGCCATGTCTCCTCCTGATGGGCCACGCTCCCCCAGCCTCCTTAACCAGGATCATGAAAAGGCCTTGGCTCTGTGTAAGCCCTGCTCAAGCAGCAACAACAGCATCTGTATATCATTAACCCTGTGTTCAGCACAAATCCAAAACACAGCCCCATACCAGGCACAGTGAAGAAAATTAACTACCCCAGGCAAAACCAGCACAACATGATAGAACTCTTACTCACCAGCTGTTCAAATTAAAATGCAAACCAGAATATTTCTGTGGTTTGCTTTAATAAAAACAACAATCTCTCTAACAGATTCCACCTTGTTGACCAAGCTAATATCTGCTTTTTCACAGGAATAAGTATTCCCAGGATTAAAATGCTTAGTTCTTTGCTGAATATTTATTTAATAGTGCTTCTTTTGTATAAAAAATGAGATAGATACATCATGCAAACAGATATGAGACCATTTTGTATGAAGGCACATTAAAAATGTTAACTGTGTCTATTGCCTTTTAGCAATGAGAGATGAAATAATGCATCCACTAAAAATAAGTATTCTCATTCTGGTTTGGATATTGCATAACTTCTGCAGAGGAGCAAGGGTTGTTTTGTATGTGTGTTCGTGCTAATCATGTGGTTCCTTAAAAGCTGGGGAGTAAAAATTTCTCCCTTTCTCACCCCAGAGGAAATCTGCATCCCTAAAACATTCTTTAGTATATATGATTTAAAATATTGTCTCAAAATTAGACCATCTGTGGAGCAAGTCCTGCTTCAGTTTTTGAATCTGTTGTTAGAGAATGTGTCTTTACAGTTCCGTGTAACTCTGACATGTACTTAAGTGCATCTAATGCTGGCTGTTTCTCTCACTGCTCTCCTGCTACTCAAGCTGCAATGCAGGGATTAAATCATTAATAATTTGAAAATCTTCATAATAGGGGCATCTAGAACTAAATACAATAGAATCCTGTTTTCTTCAGCCTTCTTGGATCATTTAGTGATTTATGTGTACCCATTAGATGAACTGGGAGGGATAAGAACAAGGGCATTTACAGTATTAGTCTACATAATTAAACTTTTCAATATATTGCAAAATTCATCCCAAGTGTATTGTAACGTAACGATACTATAGTTGGAGACAGATCCACATGTGCCTGCTTTGATTTGCACCCCACTTTGCTGCGCACATTAGAAATAAATAACAGAATGTTCCTGGTCTGAAGATGCTGGGATTAAAAAAGAACACTTACATTGTACATATTTTGATGTTGTAATGTGCATTTAAGTCATCTGCACAAGACTTGACAAAGTTTGTTACTGTGCTATTCAGCATCTAGCGATTATTAAATATATGTAGGAGGTAATTGTGCTACCTTTTTTAACCATTTCAAAATTCTTAGAAATACCTGTTTACTCTTGAAGTTAGCCACTTATTTCCATTGAATACTCTTTTGTGTTGTAGATTGTTCAAAAGAATTAAAGGAGTTTTCTTGATTCCTGTCATGTAGACTACTGAAAAATACTGATTAATTTGTAATTTTCTTTTTTTTGGTGTTTCTTTTCATTTAGGTGTATTCTTTAGTTCAAGGAGCATCTGGATGATGCTGTTAGTCATATGGTTTAGTTTTACATAATCATGTAAGAGGCAGGGAATTGAACTCGCTGATCCTTATGGTAACATTAACTTGATAAGGTTAACCTCAGTGTGTAGTTCAGTATACATATACTTGCTATCCAAGGTACCCTGTAATTGTCCAGGGACTGTTTGCAGAAATAAATGTATTCTGGGGATGGAGCAGAAACAGTGCTCGGAATAATTTCTCACACTCTCTTCTCAGACAAATTCATGACAAAGTGCTTTGTCTCTTTGTTTTCAGAGTTGCAATAGTTTCCAAGTCTTTTGAAGGAAAAACTGATCGAACAGAAGACTGGTATGGAACACAGTACAAGCAAGAAGCGATTTCTGATGAAGTTATTAAGGCATGTTAAAACTTTTAATATATTCTAATACCTGCAAATGAAAGTCAGTGGCAAACCCTTTGTCTAATTTTCCATTTAGTTCAAGGGAGAGGTTAAATCTGCTGCTCTACATAGCATGAAAATCATACAATAAGTCTGTTTAATGTTACGTGTTAAAATGTTTTTGCTGTAAATGATCCATAATATGCAGTGGCTACTTTAAAATGTAAGCATTAACTTCTTAAAATGTAATAGTGTCTATTATATGTTAATGAATTTATCTGTACTTAAGAAAAGAATCTTTTTACAACTGTTACATGTAACTATTTTTGAAATTTACTTTTGCAACATAGAAAACACATATATATTGCCAGTTAAATGAGATTCTAAAAATGAAAACTCCGGTAAAGGAGGTGAGAAAATCCTTATTGAAACTTGTTATTGTTCTAATCTTTTAAGAAGAGGTGGCTGCAAAGATATATACCTCCAAGCTGAATTGGACCTGCCAAGTGTGCTCTGAACAGACATTACATGGGAACAACTTCCTTTTGCTTGACCACACCTATGTTCTTGATTAGAATTCCCGTTGAAGTATTTCATTTAATATTGTCATTTACAGTTCATAGTAGCAGAAAATATGAGACATAAAACACACAGTACTGTAAACTTTTCAAAATTACCTTTTATCACCATCCTCCTTCTCAGAGTACTTCATCCTGCTGATAGTCTACTTTGACTTGTTTTCCCAGCTATGTCTCTTTCCCTGTTATCTTAATAGTATTTACACATAAGGTGGTGGAACACATTTTAAAATCTTTTGTTTCAACATGAAATAAATATATATCTATTAGTTAAGCAGAAATTCTGCTTAGCCTCACTGTTTCTCCTGTTTATCTAGAAATGGCAAAATGCTGACTTGAATGGGAAATTCAAGCTTCCGATGAAGAACGAGTTCATTCCTACAAACTTTGAGATTTTACCATTGGAAAAAGATGCAACACAGTACCCTGCCCTTGTCAAGGTAAACTGTCTGTATTTGTCCCATTTGCTAACTAACCTCCTGGGAAGTTAATTCCTCTGTGTTTCTAAAATACATATCATGTCATATTTCAAAATATAATAAAAAAAAGTACAAAACTTCAAGATATTGCTGTAAAGACAGTAGTGGATTATGACAGTTTGGATTCCTATGTAAATGAATCTGCAAACAGCTTGAACTCTTTCTGCCCTTCTGAAAGGGTGTTGGCACTGATAAAAATAGTAATAAGGCTGTTTATTCAGCAGAAGAGTGACTACCACTCTTACATTTTTTTGAGCAGTGTTGAGTAAGGCATGGGTATAGACAAGGCTATTCTTTTGTAACTGTGTGTGGAAAAAGCGTGTGATGGTGTGGAAAAAGGGAGAGAGAGGTGTAAACACGTAAATAGACATCACTCTCCAGTTTCCTAGAAGCATCATTTCATGATCTCAAAATATTTAGAAAATCTCAGTTTTTCTGAGTATGTAAAACATAGAAAAAATTACTTCTTACTATTGTAAAGCATGGTTCTTTGCTAATGCTCATCCCTGTTCTAGGCTTAGCTGGAGGATAAATAGGAAAAGTCTTCAGCAATTACGTGTTGTACTTCATCTTGAATACTCAATTCTGGAATACTTCTTTCACACTACATGAATAGAAGTCTACTCTAGTGCAAAGATACCCTTCAGGAAAACATATTTGTTCTGCATAGGACATTTTAAGTGTATACTTGAAGAAATATTATTAATGGAGAAAGCCTTTGAGCATATGTTTATATTCATTCTGAACAAAAACCTTAAACTTTAGCAGGGACACATACTACAGCTTTATTAAATAACACTAACTGGTGTGCTGCAGAAACTTGATGGTCCTTCAGTGTCTCTGTAGCAGCTTGGTAATTGATCCACACAAAAGCTTTGCTTTAAGGTGTCATTGCTTTGGAAATGTATTTGCTTTTGGTTTTTCCTTTCTCTTTAAAATATATTTTCTGAGGGAAAATGGTTTTAATCTCATGCAGTTGATGAAATACACTTTATCTGTTCTGCCTGAATCTCTTTTCTTATTTTTCTCTCCAGCTGTATGTCTGTGCCATTTTCTTTTTGTAGGCACTGACATTTGTCTGACTCCACAGCAAAACATTGCAAGAACTAAATCAACAAGAATGATGTACAAAACCCCCAGCTTTTCTGCTGCTTTGTGTCCCTAAGTGAGCTTACTAAGGACTGGACCAGTGTTGTGGAGAAAGGGAGGGACAGGAACATAAGTGCAGGAACAGGATGGCCGTTTTCACTGGCAGAATGTCACTATGTCACCTCTGTTATAATGGCACATCTTGCCCTGAAAAACCCTCAGGATAGAGGGCAGTTGGGATATGGGCTGTGGCCTGAGGGCCAAACTGTTCTGTGCACTGCAGCTGGTGATGTCCAGCTGTTGGATCAGGTCTGCAGTACCACAGACAGGCTTTACTGTTTAGCATTCTGTCCCTCATATAAGATGTATTCTAAATGGCATCATAACAATTTAACAGAATAAAATCTTTGTTGTGTTTGAGCGAAGCTGTAGTTTGGCCTTTTAGTGTGAGTCAGATATTGTGCAGGAAGGTGTGCTGTAAGAGACGGGACTTAATTCTTTTATGCAAAAAAGAAGAGGAAAATACCATGCTAAATCCCTGAGAAGCAAAGAAGATCTGCTCAAAAATATGAAAAAGAAAAATAATCTTACATTTAAAAGTTCTCTCTTGTTATGCATGGCAGTGCAAAGAAAAGGTGTTGGGGAGATAAAGTTAACTAAAGTTGGAAAAGAGATGGAGCATATATGTTAGTTTTTGTGGGAGAAAAAGCAATAGGGGAGGTTGTTTAGAGTCTAACTAGGAAGTTATTCTGAAAAATTTTGGAGACAGATCTTTTAACTAATTTCCAAATAATTTTACTACTTTTTCTAAACGTGTATGTGTTATTTGTTTCTGATGTTACGTTCAAGCACATATAATACATTTTCTTTTATATAAAGCATTGATAATAACTCTAACAATAACAATAATACACAGTTATATTCTTAATTCTAAACCACATAATGATATGCTGCTCTAGTGCTGCATAAAGACACATCTTTTATTGCCAGCATTAGCAGGGAATTTTGTGCAGCTAACTCTATATTTGTCTTTTATCATTCCTCTCTAGAAAAGTAGTTCCCATTTTGATCCTAAACTCATTCACAATGCTGAGGCCATTTAACTGCTTGGTAAGGTGACATGTGGTAAGAAGGGAGTCTCAGTACAGATAGATAGATATATCCACAATGTATATAGCAAGAAATTGAATTTAAGGAGATAATGCTAAGTTGAGATTTGAAGTGGTGAAAAGACATTTTTTTAAATAGTGCCATATTCTGCAGTTAAAAGTCAAGTGACTTTAACAAAACCTCTTTTCTTGACACAGGACACTGCTATGAGCAAACTATGGTTCAAGCAAGATGACAAATTTTTTTTGCCGAAAGCTTGTCTCAACTTTGAATTTTTCAGGTATGCAATATTGAGTATATCACATAAATTGCTCTCCAAAAGTCTCTTGTTTATTGGGAATCTGCATTTCTGTGGCAAAAACTTCCTTGCATGCACTGACACTTGGAAATGTTTGTCCTTACTTTGAATATACAGTAAGGTATAGATATCAGGAAGGCTCATGCAGTAATTGAATGGCAAGCAGTTTGAGGCTCTCCATCTAGATTAACAGGAAAAGTTTATCTAAAAATACTCCTAAAACAAATTTTCTTCTATGTTTTATTTGCTATACCCGAAATATGCCTGCCAATAGGAGCTACTACATGTTGCAATATACTCTTTAAAAATGTGTGTATTTTTACATTAATTACTAGGTCACAACTGTTTTAAGATCTGTGTTTTCTTTATGAAATGCTATTCTGATAATGATTTTAGGTTCAAATTCTAGTTTCATTTGCATAATGCAAGCCATTATAAAACGTGCTTAAAATTTTGGTATTTTACTAAACTGACAGTCACAACTGATTTTTTTTTTTTCTCCAAGAGCATTATCTGTATTATCAATGAATGTGTGATTTTTGCCCCAAAATGCATGATACAAAACTGTAATGTTAATCCTGGTCTTGCATTATTTTCATCACAGGAAAATTATCTTTCTTTAAGTAAGCATGCCGGTGATGGACCTTCTTAATGTTCCTTTCAAGTAATAAATTTCTAACTTTTGAATTAAAAAAATACTGCTGTCTTTAGAGTGCAGCTGTTTCTGTGTTGGAAAGGTTGAAATGTAAAAAAATTCAGGGACTCTCCTTTTGCCTAATTAAATGATTCAGTGATATTGCTGGAAAGGCTATTATGATGGCTCTCACAGATGCTTTTAGATGCACTGTTGAGTCCTTGTTTTGAGGCACTATTTGAAATTTTTCTTGAAGAATAGAGGTTTTTTCCAGAGTGTGTCATATCTCGGTACTGGTGTTGATGAACTAGTTGGGGAAAATAGGTTTCCTGGAAATTTCCTCCTCCTTTTTATTTTTTGAAACCACAGTGCAAATGTTACAACTATTTCAACTTTGATATGTCAGAAAATGGAGGATCAAAATGGTAACTGCCCGTCTCTTATTCAGAGAACAATAATTGCAATTCTTTGCCTTCTTTGTTCATACTTGGTGACTTTCCTTGTACTGTGTTTGGCTAAAATCCAAAACAGGATTTTATTGATGGACACTGAGTTTGTTATACAGTTGTGGTGGTTTTTCACATCAGTTTCAAATGAACTATGAGTAAACCAGTCTCTGTACCAGTTTGTGAAGGATTAAAAGATAATAACTGATTTTTTGTAGAGCACACCAAGGTATAAAAGTGTGTGCACATACACACAATATCACGGAATCATTTGGGCTGGAAGGGACCTTTAAAGGTCATCTAGTCCAACCCTCCTGCACTGAGCAGGGGCATCTTCAGTTGGATCAGTGGTGATGGTCTTTCCCAGTTAGATTTGTACTTTGATCTCAGTGAGCCCTTTTAAAAAGCCAGGAGTATTTGAGCTTTGATGATCAGTGTAGTGGAATGACTTACCTCTTCCTCCTGGGAATGGTTACAGGTGGAAAGCTGGGTTTTTCTTAGGGTTGGGAGTGAGAGTTCTTTCCTTTTCCTTAAAAATAAGATGGTGATTGCACGTGGACATAACAATACTGGGTACGTCATCTCCAAAAGAAGGTGTAAGCTGATTTGTCAAGTTTTGGTACTTAAAAAAGAGTCTTGGTGAATCTCTCTCAATCTCTCTCTCTTTCTCTCTCTCTCTCTCTCTTTTTGGTGATGCTGATGGTCATTGAAGGAAAGGTGAAATGTACAGTGTTTATTCATGAGACTCAGTGAAATCAATCACCTGTATCTCTTGTGACCAAGTGAATTGCTGAATAAAGCCATCTTAATGACATGGGTTTTCATAAAAACTTTTAGCCTTAATTCTTGATTAGAATATGAAGGCTTTGCTGCCTTGTAGCAGATTACAAGAATTTGTTCATACTACAGGCTGCTTCAGTAAGGTAGAAAAAAAGAAGATTTCTTTGCTTGCAGCCCTGGTCATCATGAATCATAGAAAGAATTCCTGACCCAGATGTTATAGCAGCAATTGCTCTGTAAATTAATTAAGAGGAAGTTGATGATGATGACTTCTCCCTCAAATACACAAATCCCATAGGAACAATGATTATATGAATCTCTTGAAATCACATTATTCCAAACCTGAAAATCCTTCCAGGGATCCTTCTTGAAGAAACACCACAGTAAAAACATCTGACCTAGGACTTACCACCCAACCTAAAAGATGATGATAAGCTTTTGCTTTTGTGTGAATTGCAACTTAAGAACTCAACAAGTATCCTTTTTTAAAAGGAAGCAGAACAACCATGTAATGTGCTGATGTTTTGAAAACTCTCTAAAGGTAGTTATCAACTCAACACTTCAGTGTTGATTCCAGCTATGTCACTTACAGCTCTGTTTGAAATAGAAAAAGACTGGACTTTATGATTTTTCAAATACACTGTCAGTGATTAAGTTGTTCTGCTCGAGTCTAGTAAGAAAGGTAGACTAGAAATAAACATTTATTTACAGAACTGTCAGTAATAGGGGGCAACTCCAAGAACAGTGTTGTAATAATTTTCAGTTATTTTTTTTACTTGAGGATAAATGATTTAGTAGTCATGATTATTTTCAGAACTCCTTGTTGCCCTCTGCCAGTATACAGAATTTATAACTGATACAGACATAGTAATCGCTCCAACTGATTAGGTCTCTATTGTAGTATCAAAAAGGAAAAAAAATATAATGAGTTTGGAGTAAGGCTTATGGTAACATAGGATTGACCTAAATCTTGCTTTGAATTCAGTCTTAATTAAAAAATTCAATCATAATTGGATTTGCATCATTGGGCATATTGAAATTGCTCAGTTCTGGGAAACTGAAGGGAGAAATGCAAATGACAGCCCTTTTGGTTTTTTTACTGACATGTTTGCTTCATCTGGGCTAAGATTTTGGACTATAGCAGGCTCTGCTTCTCTAATAGCTTTTTTATTTTTTTAAATCTGTTCCTCTGCTTTCTTTCCTTAATCTAAAAGGAAGGAGAAGTCAAGGCCTTACTAAAAACAACCGGGAACCTTCTTAAAAATACCTTTGAAATGTATTTTAAAGTTATCAGCTTATAATTTGTGGTCATGTGATCTTGGTTTTATTACAGTAATGTTGGTATACACTGAGAAATACCATTCTGTATAGGTGTAAACATATGTGGTGGCATGTCTCTCAATATCACCATTAGTGACTGCTTGGAGAAAATAAATGCAAATGGTGTGGGTTTGAGTTGTAAGCTATATCCTGGCAGCATATTGTTTCAGATACTGCTGATTATTCCTGTGAAATTGATAATGAATTTACATGCACTTCAGAAGCTTTAGAAATAAGTAATCATAGTACAAATAACTTGACTTCACAAATCTTTAAAACACACAGGTATTTAACCGTTAGCACAGTTGAAACATGGCTTCAGTCTTTCAGAGGCTCAATTTCTCTTTTAGACAAATTTGCAACAGTATTGTGTGTGATCAGGTGCTTCTAATGCAACAGTAAGTCTTGTATTGCTGTTGCCATTGAAAAGATAACACAAAAAATTGTGTTGTTATGACAGTGGATATGCCAAACTTCTTTCCAGAGCTGAACTTGGCGTGTACTGCATATTTTCATACCACAAATTGTTCATCTCTTAATTTTTGTAATAGAAAGTACATTGTTTTCTGATAGCATATGAGTATTAACTAAATGAATGTTCAGTGTGTGGGCTTTCATATCGGTCTTTAAATTATGTTGGTATATTTAGTTTATTTTACTCCTGGTGAATTCTGACTGTGCAGCCAAGTAAATATAATGTGTCTTGATTTATGAGCACAAATAGAATAACCCTGGAATCTTCAATATATTTAGGCATTCCCCAAACCATAAGCAAGCTAAGTAACTATTTTCAGGTATGTGCACATTTGGCTTCAAAACAGGTATCCTTCATAATCGGATCCATCAGCATAAAATCACAGAAAATATTGTTTCCTTCAGATCAAACTTAAAAGGCCAAGAGAAACAGAGAAATAATTTTAAACTGCGTATTTTACTTTCAACATTTTCTTCCAGCCCATTTGCTTACGTGGATCCCTTGCATTGTAACATGGCCTATTTGTACCTTGAACTACTCAAAGACTCCCTCAACGAGTATGCATATGCAGCAGAACTAGCTGGCTTGAACTATGATCTCCAAAATACCATCTATGGGATGTATGTAAGTACCCAAATCAAGGAAGAGCTTAGAGCCTTGAAACTACTTCCACTCATCAACATTTTTATATTGATTTGATGGAAGGACTTTTAAATAAAAAATAAAGGCTGTTAGTCCTTTTGATCTTGGTTATTAACCATTCTTTCTTTGATTTGAATTTTAAGTTGAATTTTGTTCAAAGTCTTCAACAGTCTTTCAGTTCACATTAAGCAAATTTTCTTCTTTATTTTTGTATCATTCATGAAATTAATTCGTTGTAAGATTTCTTCCTCCATTTAAAAAAAAAAGGCAACCCTAATCCAAGCTTACATATTGGTATAAGTTTGTCAGATGTCTACTAAAAGCTTTCTGACTGATGGGGTGAAAGACCCCCTTTTCATGCTATTAAATAACTGGTATACTTCAGCTTTTCTGTTCAAGAACTACTGATCATGAGGCTGCATATACATACTCTTCAGTCATATTTCTTCATCCATTACTTTGTCACTGCTTGAGGTATCAAAGCATTTCTTTTGTTTTTCTTTTTGTTAGTCGCTACATTTATGCTGATCCTCTCCATTGCAACATGACATACCTGTTTATCAGGTTATTGAAGGATGATTTAAAAGAGTATACATATGCAGCACGCCTCTCAGGTTTGGTCTATGGCATTGCATCAGGAATGAATGCAATACTTGTAAGTAAGAAAACGCAGGAGGAAATTAAACAGCTTGGGAGTTGTTGAGCTTGGAGAAAACATTTGACTTCTGCATTTCTAAATGAGATGGTTAATGTTTTTTTCCTTGCATATATCTCATGAATTAAAGGCAATGCAAAACTGTATTTTGTACTGAGTGACCTGTTTAAGATTGCAGTGTCTTGTGAACGTGTGTGCAGTGCAGTTGTTGCGTTCTAGTTCACATTTTTACTTGCTTGCGTGGTAATCTGGAAAGTACTATTGCTGGTTTCTTTATAAAAACATTAACTTTTCTGTGGAATGAATCTCAGCGTTACAGGTTTTGTTACAATTCTCTAATTCTGCCGTAGTGAGCTGTGGAAATGGATTGTGCATGTGTTCATTAGATTGCAATGCTGGATATTTATGGCTTTTCTTTAGTGTTTGTTTTTATTACGTGTTTTGTAATCTGTTTTAAAGTGCCGACAATACTTAATAAATACTGGTATTATGATAAGTGATTATTTCCTTACTCATCTTCTCCTATGAGATTTATAATGGGAGATTTTAGTAGTCTGTCTTGAAGTTCTATTAAAATCTTTCGTTAACCATCATTATATATCAGAATGTGTTTCAGAATTTCCTGTAGAAGTGTTGTTTTCCAGAGCGTCTTAGTAAAAAAATATTCTATATATGGTCTTTATGTTTTCTGTATGAGAGAGTGCTGCAATTTCTTTTTTTATCCAACACAAATGTGATTTCCTTGTAGGATTCACTTGACTTGCTGCAAACACGGTTATCTCTTCTCGGTTTAAAACTTGCTGATGTTTCTGTGGTCAGGATTAATTAATTAAAGGGGAAAAAAGTGTGTAATTTTCTTAATTTTTAGTCACAGTTTGAGAGTTTAGAGTTATTTCAAATATTATCTGAAAACTTGTAGTCTTTTGTGTTGTGAGAAGTTTTATAGTTAGTAAGTGTAACGGTACAATGTTGATGCTTTAAGCAAGGGCAGATTCTACACTGAAAGCAGTCACCCATGGTGATTGCTGAACACTTTGGGTTCCCTTGCCAATTTAGGATACCAGCCTTTTTCATAAATTCATTTATGATAGCTTTTTCTTCAAATTCATGGTTCAGCTATGTTTCAGCAACCATAGAAGAAAAAAAAAAATCTTTCTACTGGAAAGCAGGAATTCACCTATATGTTGGTTTGTGTTCTAAAGTTTAGTTTTACTTTTAAAAAATTAAACTGCACAAATCCAATCAAATTCCTGCTTTGAGATACCAGATTTTGAAGTTTTTCCCACAAAAAAAAGGGCTTTTAGTGCCTTTTTTTTTGCAAGAGAAATTTTCTGTAGCTTGATGGAATAATATAATAATTTTTATGTTATTTTTTTAATAACCTAGTTTATTTCATGTATACTTTAAAAAAAAAGTGTGATCAGATCAATATCTCATTACAATTTCAGACAACTACCTTAGTGTTTCAGTCCAGCACCATCCTGGTTATAAATTGTGCTGCTGTTGATAGCACCCCTTTTCTTGTAGTACTGCTTACTTCAGTTTACATAAAATATATTTTTGTTCAACAACATAAACATGAAAGAAGATTAAAAGTAAATTGGAGAGAATATTTTAGAAGGTTGTGAATCTAGACTTCATTACTAAAGTGAGAAACCCAGAGTAAAACCATTTCAGTACTCCAAAGGTACAGTTTACTGACTAGATTGAATATTGTAATCATTAAAAATCTGTATTCTGAGTACAGTTTGCTTAAATCAACATGAAATTACGTTAATTCATTTATAACTTCTGAGCAAATGTGCAATATTATATTCATAAGTTCTCTTGTGATGAGTAAAGGGGTTTAATTTTAGAATGAGTTAATGTTCAATAAATGGTGAATTTAGAGTAAGTATTGAAAAGTATATTGCTCATTGAATTATACAAGACTTGGTAATTGTTTTATTCTTTTATCTTCCACATTTAAAGCAAATTATGCACTTTTTCCGTAGCTCTCTGTAAAAGGTTATAATGACAAGCAACATATCTTGCTCAAGAAGATCATTGAGAAAATGGCTACCTTTGAGATTGATGAAAAACGATTTGAAATCATCAAGGAAGCGGTAAGCTGCAGGAGAAATTTACACTTTGGAGTCATTTAAAATCGAGTGCATTGACTTGATACGAAATCTGAGGGCTGGCTATCCATGGAAATAAAGAGTGACATTCTGCCTTAGTGGGACTCCAGAAGTTTTTTTTCTCTTGTCTTTTTTGTGGTTATGAGTTACTCAGAGTGTTTATATTACATTCTTTGTTTGAAAATAACCAGCCCTGTAATCTTCTTTTAGTCAGTTTTTCTTATGATGTATGGAGGGATTGCAGCTTGCTTTGATAGGAGTAGAAATCTAAGGGGGGGGCACGCAAATCTTAACTTCTATACCCTGTTTTACAAATTGGAATGTTTTCAGTGGGACCTAACCATGAAAGAAGGGGGAAATGGATGAAGGGAGAAAGGAGGTGATGAAAAGATTTGCAATATTTCTTCTTCCCTGGTGTGTCTTGGCTGTTGGGCCAAGATCCTTTGGTGCAAAGGTAACCAGTTGGTTAATACATGCTGACTTCTGGAACTCAAATCAGATGGGGAGACTGCAGTTTTCTTCCCTCATGTCTACACCAAACAGATAAGGGAAATACCAGCTTCTGGCTTCTGTTTGGAACAGACAGAAGGATACCTCCTCAGCAACTTCAGGCTCACTGTTTGTCGCTCATGTGCCCTGAAGTTAATTGCTTTTGTCCTGTACTGGAAATGCATCCGACTTGCTAACCTATTTTAGTTTTCACTTCCCAGTTCCTCTGGTAGAGGAAAAAGGTTTTTCCTATTTTGTAAAGGTGCAGCTGGCGTAGAAAGGAGGGGTTATTTTGGAGAAGCTCACTAATTGTTCTATCATACCTCCTTTATCCATGCAAAGAATTGTCAAGATGCTCCTGGTTTTGTCTAACCAAATCAGCTGAAGGAAGCAGCTGGGAGAAAAATACATTTTCTAATAACTTTATTCCTCCACCCCTGGTCAGTCATCATAGAATGTGTATTTCGTAGGTAGAGCAACTTGATTTAAGTACTTATTTAGGTCTAACTGCAGTAATTTAATTTTCAGTCATTAATTTTATGGAAAAGTTTGATTTCATGCTCATTTCAACTATTATAATGATTGCTGCTTAATCTGAAGGCTCAGAAGCCCATATTATTACCAAGGTCACTTAACACAATTTTTTTAGCACATTTAACAAGCAAGGTAATGTTCCTGATATCTGAAATGTGTCTTTTTGATGCTACACAAAGTTGAGACTGCAATGTTAATATTTTTTGTTCAGACCTCTATTTCTAAATTTCTAATTTGAGCTTAATGATTTTCTTTTAGTACATGAGATCACTTAACAACTTCAGGGCTGAACAGCCTCACCAACATGCAATGTATTATCTCCGACTCCTGATGACAGAAGTTGCTTGGACCAAAGATGAATTAAAAGAAGCTCTAGATGGTAATGTTCTGCTACTTTTAAACTTTATTATTTTATTCTTTTTCATGTGGAAAATGTCTTGTTGCTAAACTAATGAGGGTACCTATTCTGAGCTCTGCTCGCTATTCAGGTGAAACCCCTGCAGTACCAGACCTGAGCTGATGCTGGTCTTGCTGTACTTGTCCTCCAGTTTCAAGAAAGTAGAGTAGTTCAGGCCAAAAGGCCTCAAATGGCAAAACTTGCTGGTAAAAGTTCAGGCAAAATTTGAACAGCTTTGGGGATATGAGCCTGGGTCATTGAATCCAGTGCTTAATCAACACTGATGAAATCATTTGACTGTAGTTGACATCTTGCAGACACATTGGAGTGTATCTGCATTGTGCTTCCCAGTGCACAAACTGTTTCGTTTTTTCTGTTATCAGGGAAACCTAACTCATATTTCTGTAGATAACAAAGAACTGTAGCTAATAAAATAAAAAAATGTAATTTCTGTAGATAATAACAACAATAATAAAGAATAAAGAGAATTATGGATCTTAACAAAAAGCAGGCACCCCAATATATTTGAATGAAGAAGGAATTTCAGATTAAAAGATTTAATTGATTTTAAAGGCCAGATGGAGTGGGGCTCTGAGCAACTAGGTCTAGTGGAAGATGTGCCTGCCCAGAGCAGAGAGGTTGGAACTAAATGATCTTTAAGCTTCCTATGATTGTAGTAATAGCTGAAGATTTTTCTCCTGCCTGTATTTTGCTGTGTTGTAAGAAAAGGTGGTCACTGGAACAGTTTGCAAAAATACCTTATAATAACTTCTTGGAATACATAGAGACGTTCTTTTCAAGAAGAGTATCTGGCTTTTGTATTTGCTTGAGGATATGGATTCAGAATACATATCCATGTACACCCCATCCATTCAACCATCCTTTCTCTTTTATTGCATTGATTCTATATGTTAAATTATATTTTGTGTTATATATGAAAACTGCTTTGCAAGGAGAGTGTATATTGTGCCCTATATGTGCACTGGGATATATTGCAAAAATATTTTTCTGGTATATTGTTTGTTGCAAAGATACTGTCGGAACACTGTATTTAAGTTGATGATCTTTTTTTAGTCTATATGGTAAATGCACAGTGTATTGCTTGAGTGTTATAAACTACTTGCTGCTTGTTAATAACTAATAACTAATGCTTTTCCTTGGAACACTACCCGAATGATTGCAACAGTTGTCTCTGGAGAATGAATGTTTGTTCAGCATGATTGGGAAGAAGGTTTTTGTTTTTCTTTCTTTTGGAATCTGGGTCAGACAGCATGTGAATTCTAAACGAAATAAACTATATGATGAGTGCTGCTATTTGGACCTGGAAGCATTCCAATGTTGCATTTTTAAGGAGAGATTCACTTTTTCATGATAATGAGTTTCTCCTCCTTTAAGAAATGCACTGTATCTAATGATGACTTAGGTCCTTGTTAATTTAAAATACATGTGAATGATTTAACTGTCTAAATATCTATTCTAGATGTCACCCTTCCCCGTCTCAAGGCCTTTATAGCACAACTGTTGTCACGGTTACACATTGAAGCTCTTCTCCATGGCAATATAACAAAACAGGTTGGTGTGATACTTTCTTTAATGAAACAGTCTTTATTTAAAAGCAGCATAAAAAATGGAAGACTAGTTTAATCTTCTCAGATCTTAAAAGAAGTTTTGCCAAATGTGATTTCATAACTTAACTTCGTACTTTTTTCATCTTTATGGAAATTTAAGTGTTGTTTTTTCCCCTTTAGATTTATTAGGCTAAGTGCCCTTATAGTGCTCTTGGAAACAGAATAAAAAACAACTTAAGATCTAAGTATTTGAAATTCTGTATTGCTTGTCATTACTGTGATCAAGCTGCAAAAGGAACTATGTGCTGCAGATCCTGCTTTTTTCCATTTAAAACTTTCAGACTAACTAGCAAAGATTCAAGAATCCAGTATCCCTCCAAGTACTTCACACATAGCTAAACAGGAATAGTGCACCATAAAAAAACCCAAGTGTCAGCTCTTAGATTGGGGAGTAAAAGTCAGACCATGTTTGGTTTGTCTTCCAGTAAAATAGTAACACTTTGTACTTGCATAGCAAAGCTAACCAAATATTTGAATATAGGTACCAATAAAAATGTAGTACATTTCTTGTATGGTTTTGCATTGTTTTTTCATTAGGCTTGTTTAAGTATTTTTATGTTAGAACAGCCCTGGGATACTTTACTAGCAGAAGAGGTCATAAACACTGCTAATGACTGCTGAATGTATAAAGAAGAAAGTTAACTAGTAAGAAGGGGAAAAAAGTATGGAGGAGCTAATAGCATGGACAAAATTTTCTTTTTCAAATATATCTCTAAAATACTTTTAAAAAAATATAGTATAGAATATTTTTCATGCAGAGAAATTTAAGCATAGTCTTTTTCCTTCCTTATTTCTTACACATTTGTATATGAAAGTCAGTTCCTTCTGAAATGGAACTGAATGACCAGATTTCTTAGATTTCCATGATGATGCAGTTACATCAGAGAAAAGCATTCTTTAGTTGGCATAAAGGGTGACTGAAGAGTCTTTAAGCCAGAGAAGTGGGAAGGATGTCCTGCTACACCCATACCTATGTTTAGAAATTGTCTGCAAACCTACCTTAACAGATGCGGGTAGAAAATCTTTTCCGTCCTTCAGTACCCAAGATGTGCTCATCACTGACAAAGCTCATAAATTTTAACCCGGATCTGAAAATTTTTTTCAACTAAAATCAAAATTTACACCTTTCAGGTAAAAAATTTTCAGTGAATCTGGGCTTGAAAAATTAGACCTGTCTAGCTGCTTAAAATTTCTATTTCTTCTTTCATTAATTTCATTCTGATACTTGTTTTGTGACAATTTCCTTTATTTTTTTGCTGCCACAGATGAATAGTAAAGTAATCCTGAAGTAATCCTGAAGAACAGTCTTGTAAATATTTATGGTGACTTGATTGAAAGAATATAGAGTATTTTTCCTCTAATCTTTCAAACTATGTTTTTTAGACCTCAGTCTTTTTGTCTTTGATATTGGGTGGGGTTTTGGAGGTGCTGGGGGGCATATGTTTATTAAATTTTCAGACCTTTTGCATGTTTTTGATAAAATGACTTTTGTTGTGAGTTTGTGGCAATGCAGACTGAGAGATTTTAGCTTTCAGACAAAACTACTTTGTAGCAAGTTACTGTAATTTCCAGTGTGCAGGCTACAAGAACATAACCCTTAACAGGTAAAACTATTGAAGTTAAATACTTGAATGAAACTAATGATTTTTGTTAGTTTATTTATTGTTTTTTTCAGTTATTATTGTAGTCCATCAAATAAAAGAAAGTATTTGGGCAATGAGTCTTAACACCACCAACACATCAGTGCAATGCATCTTTGAACTTAACCATTAATTTTTTTTCTTAAAACTTCGTCTACTGAGATGTCATTTGCTTTGCAAACATACATTTTAGGTATCTCGTTTTCAAACGTTGGAAGATGAACACACCAAAGTGGTGAAGGGAAAGGGAAAAAAAAAAAGCCCATTGGGCTTTACTTTCAGAAGCACTGGGGAGGAGTAGAACACGACAAGTTAAACTTACAGAAAACACAAAAAAAGCCTTTCCCCCAAACTCCCACTTTCTCTCATCTACTTAACTTCTACTGTATTTATATTAAATATTTTCTGTTCCTGATTTTTTTCTTTTCTCTCACAGCACCATCAATATTGGAAAGTGTAACCCTGCTGCTAGGTACAGAATAACTAATGATCACTGAAATGCCTCTTATGTTTTCTTTTCCAGGCTGCGTTAGGAATTATGCAGATGGTTGAGGACACACTTATTGAGCATGCTCATACAAAACCACTCCTTCCCAGTCAGCTAGTGAGATACAGAGAAGTTCAACTTCCTGACAGTAAGTGAAATGATTTATTTATGATTTTTTAATATGCATTAAATTGAGATTCTCCTTGTTAATGACATTTTGAAATGCATATTACTCTGTTGCTAAGAGTGTGTTTTGAAATCAGACTTACTTCCAATTATTTTAAACTTAAAATTCAAAAATATAATTAGGGTGTGGTTTTGTTAATAAAATTACATACTATTACATGATCTTCCTGTAATACTTGAAAATTAGTTTGATTTCATTTTTAATTTTTGTATGTAAATTGGAGTTCTTGGGAGTTGGAACTAGACCATCTTTAAGATCCATTCCAATCCAAAGCCTTCTGTAATTCAGTCTTGATTCTGTCCTTATAATTTATGGAAATAAGAGCCCTGTCCCATTCTCTGCAGTACATAGTATACACATTTGAATAAACACCATTCTTTGAGCATTTTTGAGTATTAATTGACCATTTAGTGAAGGACTGTTCTAAACGACTCTTGCTATTTTGAGAAAACTAAGAGCTCTTACACAACTTTTTTTTCCTACAAATATAAATTCTTTTGGTCTTGTACTTTTTGTATGATTTTACTTCTATGGTAAAAAAAAATCTCATATATATAAGAAAGGAGGTTCAGGGTATTGCAGGGAGTGATAATATATCTAGCTATACAGCCAAAGCACATTACCCATAGCTGGTCATCTGTCTGTGGAAACTATCATAACATTCTTTCCAAGAAGTTATTGGTATTAAATGTGGAATTATTTTTAATGTTCATAATAGTTTCTGACAGATTGTCTTTAGAAACTGTTTACATTGTAGAGGCAATACAGAATTTCGCCCCAGCTCCAAAAATATTTGCTTGAGGAGAAGCAGCCAGTTTCAAGTTAGTTGCTGATATGCTCAAGCTGTGACATTTTAATGTGTTAAAATAATGTATTCTTTTCTAGTTTCATGAAAAGTATGCTGTTAGTGGAAATTCTGCTTTAATAGTTCTAAACCATTTATTATAATTCCATTCCACAAACCATTCTCATTTTAATTGTCGAAAATAAGAACATATGTTTTTATGAACTTATGTTTTAACTTTGTCTTTTAGGAGGTTGGTTTGTATATCAACAGAGAAATGAAGTTCATAACAATTGTGGCATTGAGATCTATTACCAGACAGACATGCAGAGCACTTCTGAGAATATGTTTTTGGAACTCTTTTGTCAAATTATCTCAGAGCCATGCTTCAACACCCTGCGCACCAAGGAACAATTAGGTGAGTTCTCCCATGGTGATGGTGTGTGTTTATACACATGGATGCACACTCACACACTCACATGAGATTGTGGTGTGAGGTGTTCTTTCCCTGCTGGGTGAATGCCATTTAAAGGGCACTTGGTAAATTTAAATATCTTAACTGCTGATGACTCAAAGAAATGTTACCGTACACAGTCTCCACAATGAGAACAAGTGTGCATCATATTTCAAATAAGCCTGAAATATCTGAAACCAACTCTGACTAAAAGTTTAATCACTGTGCAGAAAACTTCCTATCAGAACTTTTACCAAAAGGAGATGGATCAGTTTCCTAAATTTCTAAATCATCATAAAGAATCAGTATTAGTTTGATCTTTTTTGCTTGTGATCCTACTTCCAATTGCACTTGATGATTCATAGAATCACAGAATCATTTAGGTTGGAAAAGGCTTCTAAGACTTCTAAGATCATCAAGTCCAGCTGTTAAACTCTAAACCCTATTTTAGGGATATTGCTGTGTGGGTAATGGGGAGAGCTACTATGTTGAAGACATAAATACATTTTTGGCTTTTTAAGAATACAGATGTTCATCAGTAAGTAAAGGTAATTGTTACCTGAACCGGTAAGACAGAACTGGTAAGATTATTCCAGAGTAACAAGGAGAGAGAGAGACTTTGCATGATGGTTCATATGATTGAAATACTGGGGAGTAGGAGTACAGGTTTTCCAAAGGTGAGAAGCAGGTAAATGTCTCAGTGTGATGACTGTGAACTACCAGGGATGTCAGGCAAGATTAGACTTCTTGTGAGCAACTAGCAGAATCAGCTATAAAATATTCATCATAGGAATTTTAACAATCTATATGTCTGCTGAAAATAGGATAGAATCCAGGTTATTTAACAGATTTTTGAAATGTGCTGGTGGCAGGTTTTGTATAAAAGTTGGAAGTAGCAGGTAAAGAGTAGGGGGGAAACAGTGAGCAAAAACTGTGTGTGTTCAGCATTACATAACTGCAGAGGAAAGACAGTAGAAATACCAGCAAAATTCAATAAACTTCATGGAGTTGTTAGTAAGATCTCTGAGAAAGCTTAGGGGAAAAGGAGTTAGCAGTTTACTAAACAGTAGAAACAATAACAAGAATTATTTCAGTAAATGCTTTAGCAGTATGAGAAAGTGAAAGAGAAAAGTTGGCAGTGGTGGAAAAATCAAAATGTTTTATGATGGCTTTGTTAATTTTCACTTAAAATGTCAACTGTGATCAGATGATTTCTAAAATAAATACTGGTGATCCAAGTCCAAGGCTTACCACTGAACAGGAAAATAACAGATTAATTGGGCAGATTAAATTTTAAAGAGTTCAGGTGTGATGAACTATACATTCTATTATAAGGAACAAAATTACGAAATCCTGGAATTTAGAGGTCTTATAATGATGATAGATGAAGTATTGGAAAAAATAAACATGGGCAAATGCTACATGTTGCCTTAATAAAAGGGAAGAGAAAAGCAGGGAATATATATATAGATTAGTCAGTTTAATTCTAATTCCTGGAAAATACAGAATAAGTTACCAAACTAGTTCTGAATTCATCGAAGGTAACTGAGAGGCTGTTACTGGAGTGCCTAGGTGGAAGTGCTACACATTTGGATGCAGGACTTCAGAAAGTCATGACTGGAGGATAGAGAAGTTGATTTGAAAAACAGTTGTTCTACAACTGTGAGCCAATGTTATTTGGTATTTTCATCCAAACTAGATGATAGAAGAGTGAGTATACTTAGTAAATCTTCAGATAATATTAAGTTGGGAGAGGCTGCAAGTGTGTGGGAAGATAGAATTAGAATTTAAAATTAGTGTGACATTTTGGAAACATGACTTCAATGAAGATAAGATGCAGTTTGTTAGGAACAGTTTGGCAGGAACAACCAAACTGTTGTTCCAGATACAAGCTTGTATCTGTTGTTCCAGATACAAGCTGGGAAGCAACTGGCTAGGTAGCAGTTCTGTAGCAAACTCTACAGGGTACAGTGGGTCAGAGGTAGGACATAAATCAGCAGTGTTGTCCTGCTGTGTAAAATGCTGGGATATATAAATGGAAGCTTTCAAGATGCACTCACAATAATACTCCTAAATTGTTCAGGTAGGAACTTTGAAATACTGTATCCAGTTTTGACCTGAGCATCAGGGAACTATGAGAAAGCTATAAAACAACACTTAAAGGAAACGTGACAGATTTATTATTAAAAGAGGGGAAGAAGACTGAAGAAAGGATTAGTTGTTCAGATTAGCAAATGCTGCAACAGTAAGAAAGGGAATAATACTTTCTTTTTCTCTAGCTGATAAGATGGGAAGTAGTGGTCTTACATTATAGCAAAGAGAATTCAGATTAGATGTTATGAAAAAACAGTAAGTTTCTAATGTTGAGTCTAATGAAGCACTAGAGTACAGCTTAGTTTTAGGAAACCTAATCCTGATGACAGGATTTTGGTTTTGTTTTGTCTTCGTCTGCCTCATCTCCTCCTTGCCCCTCCCCTGAACTGATATTTACATCAGTGAAATAAAGATGTTTTAAAAAAACCAAACAGTGGCATATTTTGAAAAAAACCTGCATCGTTTATAATACAGAATTAAGTTAACATAACATTACATTCCTGTCAAATGTGCCACGTTTGTCAAACTTAATGCTGCAAGAAGGGATTTCTTTTGATAATTGGCTGTTCTTGTTTTGCCAAGGTTACATTGTGTTTAGTGGTCCACGTCGGGCAAACGGCATACAAGGACTGCGATTTATTATCCAATCTGAAAAGCCCCCCCACTATTTAGAAAGCAGAGTTGAAGCGTTCTTAAAGACTATGGAGAAATGCATAGAAGATATGACAGAAGAGGCCTTCCAAAAACATATCCAAGCTTTAGCAATTCGTCGTCTAGACAAACCAAAGAAGCTGTCTGCAGAATGTGCTAAATACTGGGGAGAAATCATTTCCCAGCAGTATAACTTTGACAGAGGTAAGAAAAATGATAATTCCTTTGAAACTGAATGCTTTATTTTGGCCACTCTTGTGACTATTGAGTGTCATGTTCACTTGGGAACAACTTAAACTTTTATATAGCTTATACATAATTTAATATGTACTTGACAGATGCATTCACATATACTCTGACATTCCTGATAGTACATATGAACCCTGTTCCTCTTCCCATTGTGCAGTTCTTTTGAGGGAGTGATGGCAGGGGCAACAGCAGGTATTTTAACTAACATGCAACCTCTCTCATCTTGGTGTAGATTTGAAAAAACATTAATTTTTTTTTGTTTGTTTGTTTTAATCCATGATACTTTTAAGATTATAAGCTTGTAGAAGACCAAATGAGATGCAACTTCTAGTGTTATTACTGAAAATGGACTGGCAGTTATTTCCAATGTGATCCTACATAATATTTGTGTTTTTCCTTTTTCATCGTTTGAAGATTTTAATCCAAAATACTGATATACATTAGCAATACAGTTTCTAACATTAAAGAAAAAATCAGTTTAGGTACAGTCAGCTTTTCCTCACATTTTTGTGTCTCGTCTCTTATTCACAACTGTAATTTTCTGTCTTCATGCATAATATGCTTCCTCCATAAAACTCACTCTGTATTCTGTGACTTCTCTTCTGCTTTACATGCACTGTATGGGCTTTCCACAAGTCTTTTTGCTTGATAATGACTCACTAAACTGTTATAATAATAATGAGTTTTTGACTTGTCATCTGGCTTGTCTAGAGAAAATGAGAGCTACTGACACGGTTTCATGCCTGAGCATAAGGAGTGGTGTGGAAACTTATCCCCTCAAGTACTTTTTTTTGTGTATGATGAAATAGTTTGATTTTCCTCGGCCTTAAGTGTTTCTGGTTTTGGATCAATTTTATCTCTCTGGAATTCTTACCTCTAACTGTAGCCATATATTTCATATCTAAATCCCACCGACCTCACTCTTTCCCTTGACTTTTATATCTTTAATTCCCCTCTACCCACTAGTAATTTTATATCATTAATGATTATAATATGACTAGAGTTGTCAAAATCAGAAATTCATATTCCAGCCTTAAGAAGTGGATTTTTTTTCTTCATACTTTTACGGTTATTACGACTTTTAATGTTGTTACCCAAATGTTATCTAATTTTCTAAACTGTGTTTAGAAAAAAATGGGGTTTTTATTTCCTGTATATAGAACTTCATATTAATTACAGCCTGCCTTACAGACTTGTTAGCTACCTGTTTGTTCTCTTGCACACATTTATTCCTTGATCTTCCTGCTCACCCTAAGAAAAGCAAGCATGCCTACAACAGAAAACATTTCTGCTTATGCAGCAGTGATATTAGATGATTAGTTCATGATAATTTAATTTATATGTAGTAATGTAGCAACTGACACACATTGTCCCCAGATCTCTTAAAGGTGATTACTCCTTAACAGGTATGATGTAGGCACCATTCCTTATATTCCTTTAAAAAGTACATCCTTCCAAAATACGTCCTACCATCCTGTTTCCTAACCGTGAATAAAAACTATCTGCATTAGAAATGTGTAACATTGATTTGAAGACAATATTCAAAAGTAAGCATATCTCTTTTAGCTACTGAATATCCTACAGTGCAATCAGTATTCTTTAAACATGCATTTTTTAATAAGTCAAATCAGATTTACTGAAGTATAACTTTCTACCAAGGTTCCAATGACACTTTTAGTGAAGCAAGTATTAACTTGAAAGATAACAATGAAAAGCATGTAATTTACAGTCAATTACAGCATCTGAATTTGAAAGAAATACACTTTGAATAAGTAGTTTGCTAATAACCAGCTGTGATCTGCAGACTTACTCTAATTTTTACTGTTGTTGTGCAGATAACATTGAAGTGGCTTATCTAAAGACCCTGACCAAGGATGATATTATACAGTTCTACAAGGTAAGCTAGTCATGTAGTTAAAATGTTACTTGGAAAGAGATGTAGGTACAGCTGAATCTTATTTGTGCAAGCTACAAAAGGATATACTGACACCTCTTTTAGGTAGATGATATAATTGATGCAGATTCCATAATAATAATTTTATTTCCTAAATATTACTTATTTTAATGGCAGTGGTAAAAATTGTGGAGAAGGATTGAGGTTTGGTGCGTTTTTATTTTTTTTCTTACCACTCCTTTTTTCTCTTGTTTCATTTATCCTTCCTTCACGGATATAAAATGTGCTGCTCTATGGCCAAGCCTGGCCAAAATTGCACATTTGTTCTTTTATTTTTTTCTTCAACCGATAGATGATTCAGCCTATTTTGTGGCATGAATTGTGAATGAAACAGATATTTTGAAAGCTTTGTTCAGTGTAAATGAAAGCTTTGTTCAGGGTGGGGTTTTTCTTCCTCTAATAGTTGGGCAGCGTGAAGGAACAGCATAATGTTGCAGTATTTGTGCCTTGTGACTCAGCATGGAGTTGCTAGATAGGTACTTAATACAGGCACTTGAAATACTAGGAGGGCATCTGTCCCTGTCGTGTCTGTGTCATTCACCCCCAAATATAAAAATTGGGCGTCATTCTTCCTCTTCTGTAATATGTCATAGTCAGTGATATTTCACTATATTGCGAAGTGTTCATAGTGTTTTATCACTTATGGAGCTCAGGGAGTACTACTGAAGATAAGTTCAACTTAATGTCTTCAGGATTTATTATTGGGTGGAAAAATTTCTGCCCCTGAAGAAGCATGGATATGTCTGTGTCTGCATTCTTTTTTTCCTCTCTTGGGCAGAGGGGGGGTAATGTCTTTCAAAGTGGTTTGTCTTTTGTACTCTGCATTATCCTTTTCACTGTCCAAGGTATTTTTACATTGCTGTCTGTTTTTATAAGAGTTAGTCCTTCATGCTTGAAACTGGTTATTATTTACATGGCACAGTGAACACTGACATCTTTGGGTGGGTTGTTGGTTTTTATTTTTTTTAATAGTATGATACCATAGGTGAAGATATGCAGTAAATACAAACTTAGTAAATGGAATTTCAGCACCTGTTGTTTAATAAATAAAGCTGTTGTTTAATAAACAATAAACTCAGCTAGTCCAGCTGAGTTTAATAATTGTGTTCAGGGTGATGTGCTTCCAGAAGACTGCTAGGGATTGAAAATTCTGCAGAGATTTTAGGTTGTATTCCTGATACTATGATAGTTAATGGGTGAATTTCTATTACTTACAGTTTTTCTGAGTTCCAAAGGGTACATGAATTTATTACCTTGATTGTAAAATGATTCGGCGTATACTGTGTGAATGACTTTTAATCATATTTGAAGGGACATCCCAAAATTCATCCCTCATTTTAAAGCTTAAAATTAAAATTTAAACACACTTATTCTTTTTACTGTTTTATAATGTCTAAGGGATACTTCCCACACCTGAAGAACTTGATGTTTTTTACTGTAGGTGCTGTTGGCAATAGATGCTCCCAGAAGACACAAGGTATCAGTGCACGTCCTTGCAAGGGAAATGGATTCCTGTAAGTATTGTGCTGAATATCCAGCAAGTCATGGTTAGACATAGCCACGTTATATGATACAAATGCACTATAAGAAAAACTCAGCTTTAGAGATTATATACCTTTCAGAGGCAAAGGTATTTCTTTTTACACGTTTCCTTCATGTGGGTGCTTCAAATTTTCTGGTTAATGTTTGTGGCCAAGTTCTTCAGCCATTCTAAAGTATATTGATATTAAAACAATATATCCTAAAATAGCGCTTCTGTTTTCAACAGGATATTTTAAAACAGACGTAAAATTCTGTAATATTCCTACGGGGCAAAAAAACCAGCCCAAAATTAGAATTTGCAGTATCAGTCCAGTGTGGGGTTTTTTTTCTGACAAGCAATGAATGTCCACAATGTTATTCTAACACCCTCAAAGGGGAAAGTAAACCCTGAAACAAACAAAAGCCAAAACCTCTGGGAGTATCAAACATTTTATTTAAACTTTAGAAGGTCAATATTTATTTAGGTTTTATTTTGAAATAATATAGATTAACTGTGCATTGTAAACTGTATCGTCCCATTTTAGAATTCAGGAAGGAAAAGGTTAAAGTGTTTCTGGTTGATATGAATAAACTGAGAGGAAAAACTTCTGAGTTGTTTTGTGCAGATTTTTCACCAGTTTATACTGGACTTAAATTCCAACATGCATCTGGTTGCAAAATCAAGGATATTAAAGCTTGTCTGTAGTACATGGAGAAGCAGATAGCTGTGTGCATGTCATGAAACTCCTTTCAACCTCAGAAGGATTGATTTTTACGGTACTGTAGAAATTGTAACTCTGCAGCGGAGTGAGGAAGACTTGCTTCAAAGCGTCTTTCCAGTTTTCATGACTAGTAGTTGCTTAATAGAAACAGTCTAGAGCTTTTCCTGTCTAGAGAAAACTTTTCAGAATGTAGTAACTGTATTGCCAGAATGGTTTATTATTTGCTTGGACTGGTGGTGGTTACTTCTACAGGGATTATAGTAAGTTATTCTCTCTACATACTCCCCATTTAGTCTGGCATTTGGCCTCTCTTCTGCCATGAAAGAAATTGAGATTGAAATGCAAGAAGTAGTTTGGGGGGGGGGGGAATTGGAGTAGGGTATGCAAGGAGACAGGCAGGGAAGATTTTGGTTGCTATCCAGAATTTCGGTGCCTGGAGTAACCTCTATGCCTCCATAGCCGTGTCCTTATCAAAAAGATGTGCTGTTGTTGCATTGCTCTTGTATGTACCACTGACATTTGCTACTTTTCTCATAATTTGTACTGAGAAACAGTTTTAAGTATTCGTTGATCAGTAGATTAGCAATTTTTATTTCTACGTTCTTTTTATGTGTAAGTAAAATGAATAAAAGATCATGTTCTCAAGTCAAATCATGGATTAATTTCTGTGTTTCTAAAGACAGCCATGGAGTACAAAAGCAAAATGTTTAGAAAATGTTATTTAGCAATACTTAAAAATTAAACCCCTGTGCTTTATATAGATACCTGACTTTTAAGAGAAAACAGCTATTATGTAAAAGATACTGATTACATTATGGTCTTGAATTAATTTTGATGATGTTAAATAGGCCCTGTTGTTGGAGAATTTCCATGCCAAAATGATGTGAACCTGGCACCAGCACCGCCACTACCACAGGTAAAAAGAAACAACACACAATACAATCCCAGGCTGCATTCCTAATCTAGAGGTTTAGTATCATTAAATACAAGTCTGTAGGGAGAAACAAACTTCTTGAAATTCATGCTGTCATGGGGCTGTTTCATCCTCACTATCAACAGGAATTTTTCCTGATTTTTCTTTTTAGCAGTCTCTCCAGTTACCTTTTAGTCCACTGAAGTGAAAGCTAATAGCAGTAGTAAACTCTACTGAGTGTCTGCACAGTGGAGTAAATACAGGTGATTATTGTCTGAAAATACTGATTGTATATGATCAGGTGTATCAAGTGTCAAGAGAAAGATGCATATGCATCAAAAATTTTTATCATCTTTGTTTAAAAAACCCAAACAACCAGCCCCCAACCCCAAAGCAACAACAAAACAACTATTTGGTAATTTTCTTAAAGCCTAAAATATTAATGCACATTCCTGTCAACATATAACCTGTGGAGGAAACAGTTTGATAAATTGTATTCATACAAGTATTACAGATTTCATTTTGTGGTTAGATATGACAGGACTAGACCCTTCCCAAACCTTCAGTAAATTTTCCTGAAGGATGGCAGTGTTTGTCCCAGTAGATGATTAACTTTTTGCAGTGCGGTACATCTGTGTTTTTCATCAGACTTCTCAGGTGAAATAATTGCCATGAGTGGAAATTTCTGTATGATTTGTATGTGGATATATTAGCCATTATGACTGAAATATTTAAAAGTTATTTTGTTACTGCATCTGAAAAATAATAATGCATTGAGTAGCTATTTGTGGGTGTGATCTTACCTCTGATACTGAAGGGACAAGTGGGGTGTTCTGAAATAGAACTTGTAAATGAAAAGACAAGCTCTGCATATATTGGAGATCCTGCCATTATTAGTAACGCAGTTACTGCATCATAGCTATTGTTTTAAATTATGTAAATATGAAACCATTTATTTCATAAGAAATAACACTACATTTGGGGGCGATCCTGTAATAACAAAGTATGAATCACTAATACTACAGAAAAGAGCAAGAAAGGTGTTTTAGCAACAGTGAAAATGAAAAGCAAGGAATTGCTCAGTTGTCTGACTGGAGATATTGAGCAGACTTTTTCTTCCATACGCTTTTTTGCAGCCAAGTGTGATTGAAAACATGACAGAATTCAAGCGCAGTCTGCCGCTCTTCCCACTGGTGAAACCACATATCAATTTCATGGCTGCAAAACTGTGAAGAACCCCACGGGATGAAGAAATGCCGATGAGCAGTACTGACATGGTTTCAGGGGACTTCGTGATGAACAAAATTATTAAAGATCATTAGGATAAATGGTTCTGTTCATGATGAAAGTCCCAAATTCCTTCTTGGTTCGTTTGACATTAGCTGTGTGTTAGGGATAGAGAGTATATAAAAATCAGTTGTGGTCATGTGTCATTTATATTACAGACAACCTGTTGAAAAACAAAATCAACTGAAACAATAATAATAAAAAACTTGTAGATGCAGTATATTTTTTAAAATAGCATATCCCTTCAAATTTTCATTTTGATGAAATAACCCTCCAGAGCAAACTAAATTGCTTGAAATGTGCTTGTTACTTCTGAAGAATACTGTTTAGTATCCCAATAATTATCTTATTGGGGGCTGGAGGGGGTGAGAAAAGTAAGTCCTTTTTGGGATGGAGTCAACAATTTTTCTTAAAAATAGAGACTTCCACATTTTTTTTAAGTGGCGTGTTGAATGATACTTTTTTAATTGATCCTTAATGCAACCAACATATTTTCTATTTTAAGTTTTATGAAGACCAGTGGGGGGGGAAAAAAGGAAATTTGACAACACAGTAGTAAGTGAGAGAATTGTCTTAATGAGAATAACTGAAGATAAGGGCATGATTTTAATCTTTCTATACAAATTTGGGGAGATTTTATATTAAAACTAGTAAAATGCTGGAAACACTTTTAATAGTGCGTCTTATTTTTGTTATCAGAAATGTTGTCCCAGTCTCTTCATACTATCAACATCTTGTTCAGTTTTTCAGTGTTACTGTGGATTTTTTCCATCTACTATATCAAATCCTTTATTTGCTGTCATTTTTTGTTTTCAGTTGCACATGTACTGATGGAGAACTCAGTCTGGTTTTCCTCATTTGTTATGTTAGGTCTCAACCCAGCAAAGCACTCACTAGTGCAAATAACTTCAAACACACACTGGTTCTTCCTTCAAGAACAGGTGAATGTCAAATACGGGCCCTGTAATGAATCAGATACATCATTATCCTGATACATGTGTGGGTCCTTCCTGTCCTTCAGGAAGGCACTTGGGACAGTGCAGTGCTGGGTTAGCAGTACTGCATGTGCTCCAGGTTACATCACAAAAGACTTGTTCCTACTTCTTGTAAGAAGGCTGCACAAAACTCAGAAGGATCAAGAATTATGCTGAAACACTGTTTGTGTGTGTGTATATATATATATTACATAATTTAGTAAAATGGTAAAACAATATATGGTGTCTAGTCTTCACCATCTTTACTGACTCCTGACTTCTGCAGAGTGGTCTTGTGCTTGGGACAGCCCCCAGATAGAAAAATATAAGGAACTTAAAGTTCTTCTATCTCTGCAATACATAAAATAGATGGTAATTATTGAGACAGAGAGAGTATGCAAAGCACTGAAGATATAAAATCCGCTCAGCAGGAGGTTTAGTGAGAATTTGCTTCTTATTATAAAAGAACCTGAAATTAAAGCCCTGATGTGACACACATGTCTGTGACACATCAGAATCCTGGTATAGTCAACAGGGCTGTTCCTGTAATTGAGTCAATGTTCATTCTTACACTGGCTCTGAAGCCAAATTAAATGACAGGGTAAGGGCCTTAAGTTGCATTTATCTGAGAGTCTCTTCTAGCTGAACAAATATGGTGCTCTTAAAATTTGTTTTAAAGGTTAACAGCACATGTTTCAACATCTTTTTAATAAATTTGATGGTAATTTGTGATGTAACCTGTTGCCAAGGAAAGGCACTAGTATTTTTTTAGCCTGAGAAGAAAAAAAGTTAAATGTAATCCAAGCAAAACCAGTGAAGATGTCTCTGTTCACCCCATTTTTCATGGATCTTTCACATAAAATGGGCTTTTTACCTTCTTGCATTTCACTTTTGTTTATAGTTTTCCTTTAGTAAAAGTATTTGTATTATATATATTAAAAGTTTTGACAACATATAAAAATATATATTTTGGGATTTAGTATTTAAACATACCACTCGTACAGTGAATAAAATGAAATGGCTTCTATTGTGTGTAAAAATAAATAGATATATATATTCATGGAAGTACTATCAACTCTTAATTTTAACAAATTATATAAATAAATTGGAATAGCAGTGTATTTAACACAAATCATGTTTTCCAGCAGAAAAAATTTAGAACTTCAAAGTTCTGTGACTGGATGTGGAAACCCATGTAATTTTCCAACAACTCTTAATTGCTTTTAAGTGTTCCTCCAGCATTTTACAGTTTCTGAGTTTGATATAGCAGTAAATTTTGATAAACTCAGGCATACTAATGGGTTCATTTTAATGGATCCAGAGCTGCAGTGTCTACAAGCAATAAAGAACTACCTAGAATACACTGTAATTCAATTTTAGTGCTTGTTAATTAGTTTATGTAAGAAACCATAAATTATTATTACATAACTGTAATTTTTGCAAGTGCTATTTTAAGCAGTTGATGTGGAATTGGGTGCATGTGACACAGCCAGTATGACAGAGTGCTAGAGTTATTCTGTTTACAATAAACAATCTGAATTTAATGTTTGGAGTTCTTAATTTGTTTTATTTTAATTTTTTGCATACTGGTGATGTTACATCTGTCAGTCTGTGCATGTTTTCTATTACACGTTAACTGTGATTTTCCGCTCTCCAGTTGGACTAGTTAGGCTGAGTAGCATTGCTGCAGAAGTGCTTCCAGGCACTTCTAGGGAAGTTTCAGAGGACTTCCCCATGTGACATCACACACCTTTTAGCTAGATCCACCTCTGTTGCTCTCTGAGTGTATGAAAACTTAATAATATAAAGGTAGAAATATTTGCACAAGACAGAATTTTAATTATCAAATCTGAAGTTGTAAATATAGGGAATTACTGCGGCCAGACTGAATTGTGCCTAGTGCAGCTTTACAGTGTTGCTTTTGAGGAACTGCTTTCCCTGGTCATTTTCTTTGTTCTATGCACACCAAAAGATTATGTTTCAAAAGGTTAGGAGTGTGTGATTGTTAGAGTAGTAAATAGTGTCAATTCTGACAGCACAAAGATACAAGTCAGCAAGCCCTTCTGGTGTTCTGAGGGGGCTCCTTGAAATAATATATGACAGGTAGCAACATTAAAAGAGACAGGTTTTGTCCTTGGCATTGGGAAGAGTGGTTGTCACTCTCAGTGGAGAAATAAAATGCCAGCAGCCCACCTGGAAAATTATTTGTCCCCAACATCAGGGCTCTCTCTGCTCCTAGTCATTAGGGGTTGGTGTAAATCTTGACTCGTTGACTTTACTGTTTTTTACAAAAAATCATACTCTCCAAGTCTATGTTAACTATTATTGTTGGCCATAAAAAATGCTTGAGCTTTTTCAGATTATTTAAGCGCTTGGATGTGAGGAGCCCTTATTGATAATGTGTTCCACAGTGTCATCATAACAACTGGAGAAAGCATTACACACCTCTTAAACTTCGTTTATTATTATCTAGCTCTTGTTTTAAAATAAGATCAGCAGAATTTTACCTTTTCTCTCCCACTTAACTGGTTAGTATGCTTTTGCTATAGGTCTGCTGTAAAGTGAAAAATCATTATTTTCTACACCTTCATATGGTTTTTCCCTATTTTTTTAGTATGTGACCACTGAACTGATATGGTCATCCACAGTGACTCCTGGGACGTTCGCTTGAGCTGATACCTAATGTGATATTGAAATCCAGCTCTGAAATACTTTGTTTTCAAGTTGTTTTTTTATATTGTTGCTAATGCAAGGCACCTCTGGGCTATTTTAAAGTAGAGATCGGAAAGTGAGGCACCTTTGATACCTTTCCTGAAATTTCAGAGGAAGCCTGGCCTATGTAGATTCTGCTGAAAGGCTTTTATTTGAAACATTTCTATTTACCGTTCAAAGAATATACTCATAAAGTTACAGTATGTGCTGTGGGTTGAAATCTGAATTGCAGTTCAAAGGAACAAAGTGTGTAAGGCCAAAGGCACAGCAGAATGTCGCAATTGAATCAACTTCTTTGAACTTGAGCATCTAAACAGAATTTAAGACTGAAAATATTTATGGCTTCTCAAATTAATATTTCTAAGCCCCCCCAAGGCTGTTAACTGAAAGCACAGCATTAAAGGATGTAGGCACAACAGTGCTGAGCATTTACCACTGCTAAGACTCTCTCTTTAGTGGTACAGTGCAAAATCCTGAATTAAATTCCTTGACTGTGCATTGGATGAGGGAAGATAACACAGCTCCGAGTGCAAGGAAGTGACTAGGCATAGCCAGTGGGAAACTCCAGTGAGAGGCATCCAAGTTTAAATCCTACATCTTCCTGAGGTTTTGCCACCACCTTACTGTGTGTTAGATGTGCTTCCTTCTGCTTCAGATTTCTGTTACAGATTTTCACTGTCTGCTCAGCTTCCCTTTCAAGAAGGGGAGCAAGGAATTGTGGTACTTACCTAGTGACTGCCAAAGACATGTAAAATTTTACTGGAGCAGCAGCTGGAACTCAGGAGCCCCTTCCCCCCCTTCCCTCCACCCATACACAGAACTGAGTGTCCTGTGGTAGGTGTGGGCTCAGACACACATATACCCTGGTGGTGAATGCTTACAAAATTAGAACACATTCCACAGAAGGGAACGAGAAGGTCCTCAGCCTACATTAGTAACCTTCTGGGAAGCAGGAAAAGTAGGCTAGGGAAAATTCTAACAGAAGATGGAAATGAGGTTGATGTTCTGGTAACTTGACTAAGCACTGTGTTGTGGCTTAGAGGAGCATGTGTTTATATGAAGTCTGCTGTAAAGGATGGAATCCTGTGATGGGAGGGATAGAAGAAGAGCTGCGTGTGAATTCCAGGGAGATGTAGGAGACCAATAACTAATGCTTTTTATATTGTTAAGGCTGAGTAATTTCAGAGCATGTGCAAAAATTGTGTTCTGTGATATTGGACATAGGAAATGTGGGTGTGTACAAATGTCAGTGAAAACTGAGCCTGGACTTGGAAGATGCAAATTTTGGATGTGATGCCTTTTAGTGGACAGAAGTCTTAAAAATTTCCTGAATAGCATTAAAGTGATGCACCTGATAAGGCAATGTTGGAACTAGTTTATAAAACACCCGAAATATGGAAACATTTCAGTCATAGTGCTCAAAAAATGGTTTACGTGGTCTTTCTGAAACTTTCCGACTGGCTTTGGCATGAAGTAAGTTTAGCAGGACAGGTTTCTACCCGAATGATTATTTGTGCATGTGTGTTAAAGCCAGGGAAGTTCACAAGATTAGTGCCCATCAGCTGTCAAAACAGTTCAACATCTCACTTTATCCTGTTGTCATTACAGTAACTTTGAGCCTACTGATACTTGTGTATTCCAAGCCTTCTGCAGCGCCAGGGGAAAAAGTGTTTCTTATGACCAGTTTCTTATAACCACTTATTGCAAGTGAAGTGACTTGTTTTGACTATGAGATATCAGTATCATTCACTGGCACATACCTGTTATGTGTGAAGCTTCAGGAGTCTGAAAAAAAAATCTATGCAAATAATTCAGTTCACAGATTTGATTAATACTGATTTCCAGATAAAATCATAGGAAGAGAATTGTGACAATTCTGCAGCACTGAATGTCTTTTAGTAACACAGGAATCTGTATGTATAACTGGATCTGTCATCTCCACAAGCTGATTGTTTAGTTCTGATACTCTTTTGTGTCATCCTCAGAGATGCCACTGTTCACCTCACGTTGTGTCGTGTCTCTCTGACCAAGGTGAAGTGACCAGATACTCCCATTGCCACACCAGCCAAAAGTGTCATTGGTGTCCCTTTAGCACTGCCACATACCGTGTGTGGGCTGCATGTGTGTGCTCTAGGATATTTCTGTCTATGTTTAGAGCTTATCTTCTAATTGTAAATCCATAAAATTATAAAAGATGGCACCTGCAGTACGTCCAAACCTGAAGGCCCACACTGGGCTGCTGTTGGAGTTCAGCAAAATGGGAGATTTAAGCAAGTAAAACTATTGCAGAAATAATTTGAAAACAGGTGCTACTCAACTGCAGCAGGACACTGATCTGCTGATGTATGCACAACATGATTCTATTGCTGTGAATAATCTAATAAAAATGTACCTTATGCAGCCTTTTCCTGGAAGCAGGAAGAGTGGAATACTTGAGTGGAATAACTCGTAAGCTCTGTGTAACTTGAAGAATGCATATATAAAGAATGCTTGTAGTTTGGATTGTCCACTTGAATTTAAGTGTCAGTAATTGTTAAAGATGTTATGAATGTGAAAATGCAAAAGATTGTATTAAGCTCAATGTATACAAAGTGTAAGTGTGAGCTGGGGTGCTGGCCCACACTGTGAGCCACCTCATAGAAATAGTGTTGAAATGAAAGATAATGCATATAAGTTGAAAGCAACCAGTTGCATGCCATTTTGCACTTCTTGTCTGATAATCATGTCTGTCTGTCGCGTCATTGTGTATAAATTATAAATTCCTGTGAAAAGGGGTTGTGTTATGTGTGTGAACTACCAATGCCCAACTCACTGTATAGCTAATAATATGTGTTAGGGTTTTTCAGATGTTGAATTGAGTAATTTAGAGTGAAGACAAGACCTTCATTCCAGGGCAGCTTGTAGTGTCTGAACAGCCTAAGTTTCTTTGAGCTTTGAAAGCAACAGAATTAAATTAACAGAATTTCTCGTTGACTTTATTAGATCTACATTCTCTACCAAACAGATAAAAAAAAAATAAAGGCAGTTGAGATAATTGATAACTAAATACTTAAGTTGGCCCGACAACTGGAGTAAATGTGTTGCCTAGTAGTATATTGATAGCCCTAGATTATAAAATACGTGTGTCTTAACAATGGTTTTGGCATTAACTCTGGCTAGTCATTTAAAATAAATATTGTTGGAATAGCTATAAGTCCTGGAAGTCTTGTAACATCCATGTTTTTGCTTATTTGAGATCCACAGACAGGGTCTCAATCTTGGATAGAAATAAGCAGAGTCCCATAGTTTCATAGTTTGTTGGATTGAGCTTTAATTTGGTGATGGTGTCACAGAGACTGTGACTCCATCTGTGACACCTTCTGTGACTGAGATTGGTCACAAAGATGCCACAGGAGCTGCCTTGCTAATCCCCAGGAGCCACCATACGTCGTGCAAGAAAAAAGATAATGTATGTCTACATTTGTGAAGTATGCATTTGCAGTGTAATTAATATGTCACTTTTTCTTAAGCTGAAGTAAATAATACACTTTCTCAAAATTATGGAAGGATTGTGAGCAGCTCAAAAGAAGTAATTGTTCAGAAAATGGACTGCAACTCAAAATCAAAACTGAATGTAGATTTATGTGTAGGATAAGTAAGACTGACAGTCATTAAGCCTAAACTATTTTACTTATACTGGTGGTAATTTCATTGAACATGCTGAAGTGCCCTCATAAGTAGCATCAGAAATGTACTGGTGGACTGCTGTTGCAGGACAGAGAGTGCACAAGGTGGAGAGATGTAATGAGAATGGACAGCACTGCAGTATCCACAGACTGACAGCAGTTTGTTTATATTTGTAATGTTCCTTCCTGGTCCTGGAAGTATGAGTAGCTAAAGGTGTTGGGAGAGAAGAGCAATCCTGTCTTTATTGATCCCTTGCACTCTTGGATGCCTTGGGCAAACCATAAAGTTCTGTTCTTGAGCAGCAACTATATCAAATCAAATCTTCTTACTCAACAGGTCTTTCCTTTGGTTTGATTTAATATTAAATGTTACTACCTTTTCCTTGTCAAAAAGGAAGTTTAATTATATCTCCTCTTTTGCAGTATTTATAGTGCACTAATTAGTGCTATTTCCAACCTGTGTCTCCAGGTAACAGCTGTGCATAAGTGTTTGAAATTGCCTGTCACATCTAGTTCTTCATCTTTGAAATGAACAACAGGACTGGGTGTTTTATTTATGGCGATGCAAGAGAATGAAAGACTTGAAGTATGAATTTTTGGGTCACTTGTTGAGTCTTTAGAGCTGGCACTTACCAAAAACTTTTTGAAAGTCAAATAGAAGTGGCTTATTTGACAATAAATTTTGAACTCTCTAGTGCCATTTTTACAGTGATAAAGAGCAGGATTGCATGCTTAATTTTCAGAGGAATGGTCAACATCACGATGTAGTCATGCATATTCAATAATTACTTCCTGCTATTTGACCAGATTAGAATAAAGGAAGATCAGGAAAGGAAGTTAATTTTTGGTGTGGGTTTTTTTTGTTCATTTGTTTTGGATTTCTGTTTTGTGGTTTGGGGGGGGGGGGGGGTTGTTGGGTTTTTTTGTTAGGTTTTCTTATCTGTTTCAAAGTTTAAAGAAAATTTGCTATGCAAGAAAATAAGTAACATTTAATATCTTAATTTTTGGAAACTGTTAACTTTTTTAACAGGTATATTTTTTTTAATGCAAAGTTTAATTTTCATTTCTTGGAAAACAGCATATACTTCAGAGTAAAAACGTCAGCTTAAACGATTCACCATGAAACAAGAAGCTTTCATGGTATCTTTCCTTCACACTGTAATTAAAATTCTTCTTGGTGCTATATGATGCAAGGTTTGCTGTTCTTCCCTGTAACAATGTGAAGAGTTGTGCATCTCACCTTTATGCATGAAAAGTATTTCCGCTGAGGAAAATCGTGTTTGTACGATTCTACAGGCAAAAATATAAACAGAACTTTAAATGCTTAATCAGAGGAAATAAATCACTTTCAAATGGCGGAACTAGTCCAGATGTGTATTTTATGAGGAGCAAGACTGCGTGACGTCCTTATCTTCACCAGTGCGGCATCTCGTTCGCTGCCGGTGCCCTACACCCCAGTGCTTTCCAAGGGATTTATTTCCAGGCTCGCTTCTCCTCTCCAGCGCTTTTCCTTCCCCGGACGCGGGTCCCTCCGGGCGGGAGCGCGGCCGGGCCGGCTCGGGGCGCTGCGGGGCCGCAGCTCCTCAGGGGATGGACGGGATTCCTGGGAATGGACGGGATTCCTGGGAATGGACGGGTTCCTGGGAATGCAGGGGGTTCCTGGGAACGGACAGGGTTCCCGAGCGGCAGCAGCGGAGCCGCGGCGGTGGGAACGCGCCGTTCCCTGAGGGGGAAATGATCCGTGTCGGGCGATGGGCATCGGGAAGGCGACGATCTAAACTCGCCCGCTTCCCACCCAGCCCCGGGGAAGGCTGTGCTGGGGCGCTGCTTGGCACTGTGACAGCGGGCACAGCAGGGTCACACGTGGAAACAGCAGCGATTTTGCCTTCTGAGCGGGTTTTGGGGGAGAGCGGCGCCCGGGGGCTGTGGAAGAGAGGAAAGGGCTCTGGTGTGTCCCAGCGTTTGTGGGTGCTTGGTGGTACAGTGCTCGTAGCACAGACCTGGGGCTGTAATTGCCAAGTGTTCAAGCGAGAGAAAAGGGAACCTGAAGGGGTGGGGGCGGCACAGTTTTCGTTCCGTGTTACCTCAGTGACACGGACACGCGTTATCTCCTGAGGGAGAGTCACGGGATCCATCACGTGCGGGATGTGCCGGCAGCGGGGACATGTGTGTCTGTGCGATAAGCTCCAGCACTGGCACTCCCAGGTGCTGGAGAGCAGCAAAGGGCTGAGGCACCCTCTCCTCCAGCCTCTGGTGGTGACAGACCTATGTGTCTTCCTGACCGTCCCCTACCTGATCGTCTCTGGATCCATGTCCTTCTCTGCTCAGACTCAGTCCTCATCTCCTCACCCATTTGTCACTGCCTCCTTCACCCAATCTGTCATCAGTAGCCCCCTACATCCTGAGCCCTCCTGCAGCTCCCGGGCTCTGTCGCAGATTAATGCCAACCATCTCCTATGCATTTTTCTCAGTGACTGCTCAGTCCCCGACCTCTTTGTCCTTCATTCACTACACCTGTTGCTGAGGCCACATTTTTATCTTTTGCCTTGGAGTAGGACAGGCTAAGCAGGGAAGTCACCAGGAGCTCTGGAGGACAGCCTTTCTGCTTTCAAGGCCCAGCTATACAGCCCTGCAGGTAGTGATAAGATGCTAAAATACAATTCTTCTCTTTATGTGGCCCTTACACATGCAAAAAAACCCCTATGGAAAATTACAGTTGAGTTTCATCAAATCCCACACAAGCAGCTTCAATGTTCAAATTTTCAGGGTGTTTTGGAAGCTTCTTCATACAAGTCACAAAAATCACCACCTCAACCACCAATGTGAACTCCTTCTACCACCTAGTTTTCAATTCCCTGCTTCAAACTTTGAGACTGTCAGAGACCTGCCACCATTTCCCACTAAGTGTCCAAACCTTCAGAAGAAGAAACCTTCCACAGTTACCACTGGGGCCATGTAGCACTGTGTTTAAAGTTTGGTAAGATTCTTAGCAACTGGAAATATGGTCTTATTAAAGGAAGTACCAGGTGACCTGGTGGTGGCAGCAGCCTTGGTGTGTCAGGTGGAGTGGAGGAGGAGGGAACATTTCCTTGCAGAGCTCTGTAACTTAAATGGGAGGGATCCTGCACATTAACCTTCCAAAAGCTTGTACTAACAGCCTCCTCTTGGCTCTAGACTTAAAAAGTGTGGGGGAACTGTGTGTATGTGTAGGTGTGTGCAGGCATGTGAGTACTGAGCAAAGAGGAGCAGTATGAGCCTTCAGTAGAGAGCACAGAAGAGAAACTGGCAGTAGTAGGTATCTCATTAACTGCATACTTTGCACAGTGAACGAAGAACAGAATTACAGAGCTGTACAGGCCCCTTTCTCTGTGCTTTCCATGCAGCAGGACCTTTCCCCCCCAAGTCAGGTTTTCTGCTGGGTGTGAGCATCCCTGGGCTGCACCTGGCTGTGGTGACTCGTTAATACATCCGCTTGGAAGAGATGCCTGGTTTGTACACTGAAAGGATAAACTGCTTATCCTGTTTTCTCTAATTCTGTCATAAGAGAGCAAAAGCTCATCTGACTGGTTTAACTTAAGGGTAAATACAAGGCAATGTGGCTGAAGGAGATAGAAAATGGAGAAGGGACTCTGAATCAGCTGATTTGTATTTAAAGGCTTTATTCCACTTGCTCTTTCTAAAAATATTTTTTTCTGGTTTGGAGAAATAATATATAAATGATACCCTGGCAAGAAGTGCATAAAATCTGACAGATTAATAAATTGCACTCTCCAGAGCTGTAAGCTTGAAAAGAACGCTGCAGACATAATGCATGTTCTTGGCTTGAGAGAAATCCTGTCCATTAGAAATATACTTCTCTGAAGATTGATCTGAACTTTTGAGCTTTCAATTGAATAATTGCTCTCTGAGATTTGAAAAAAATCGAATTATTTAATTTCCCATTCACCAAAATTGAATAACATTGCAGTTGGTGATTTAAAATGTTGAATTAATTATGACATTTTTTAAATTCCCTTTTGTCTTTCCTTTGTCAGTTTATTTCAAGGGCCTCACTAATGTGAAAAGTGTATCACCCCAACAGAGAGGAGAGATGAGTCAGAGATTTGTCA